ACAGATGCAATGCTCTCTCTACGTGTAATAATCCTTCTGAGACGGCTTCGGAATCGGTCCTCTTTATTTTCACTTCCACAATACACTTTACTCACACACTCTCTGTTGCTGGCAGACAACAGAGAGCGGGCTGACTTCACACCAGTTCCCACCGCGCACGTGGCACCCAGAGCCCCCGTACGCGCGTGGCTCTGTTCGTTCCCCAGTCTGCTCCCGATCGTTCTCTCTCACTCTCTCTTAATCCTTCCATCACGTGGTCCCCCCAGCCAATCCTCCATGGACAGCCTTGACCATTCTCGATGGTTCCCTGTCAATCCCGGGACCACGCCTCTCATCCGGCTCCCCATTAGCTGGGGCCCCGAATGGCTAGGCCAATCACTCCTGATGACATGCCGTGATCACGCCGGGGTCATGCTCCCTATCTCAACCCTTATTGGCTACAAAGCAGGACCGGCAAGCCAATCCCCACGTGAACCCTCTATGGCTGTTATTACATATGTAGAGTATTTCTTGCTGTATATGTAGCGTCGGAAATGCAAAGCACACACCACCTGTAGTTGCGGGCACGAGTCGACAGGGGGTGCCACCCTGAGTTAGAGAGAGAACCGGGAGCGTTGAGAGGCCGAGTTCCCCCGCCCGACCCCAGGTGAGGGGTTGGGGGGTTATTCCAGAGCCACCTCTACTGTGTGGTGGACCGGCTACCACACAGCAGCACGAGTCGGAGGAGTGAACGGATGGTTCTCCCTATGCGGGCCAGACTCCCTCGCTTCCTCTTCTCCTCCTGCATCATCACCTGATCCTCTTTCCTTGTCATCTCTTTCTCCACCATCTTCTCCACCAATGTCTCCTCCACCTGCACCACCATCTCATCCTCCTGCTCCTTCGTCCATACCTCCTCTGTCTCCCCCTCATCTCCTCTTCTTCCTGCACCACCAGCTCTTGCACCAGGGTCTCCTCCTCCTGCACCACCAGCTCCTCCACCAAGGTCTCCTCCTCCTGCACCACCAGCTCCTCCACCAGGTTCTTCTCCTCCTGCACCACCAGCTCCTCCACCAGGGTCTCCTCCTTCTGCACCACCAGCTCCTCCACCAGGGTCTCCTCCTCCTGCACCACCAGCTCCTCCAACAGGGTCTCCTCCTCCTGCACCACCAGCTCCTCCACCAGGATCTCCTCCTCCTGCACCACCAGCTCCTCCACCAGGGTCTCCTCCTCCTGCACCAACAGCTCCTCCACCGGAGTCTCCTCTTCCTCCACAACAACCGTCAGCCATTTAGGCCTGGGCAAGCGCGGAGGATGGGGGCAGCGCCGCCTCCGCTCTGTAAAGAGATGCGCACGACACCGTTCCAACTTCCTGCTACAGCAGAGATTGCACTCCCCCCCCCACCATCAGTTAACC